TATGATTACTAATTAATAACTCCTAAAACCTTAGTACAAAAACTATTTTATTTAATTTAAATTTTCATGATGTTTTCAAAACAAAGTTTTTCTAAACAATGATAAACTTGCTTTATTTGTTATTTTTCAGTTATACAAAGAAATGTTAATATTTCTAGTTGTTAATTCTTTTTATTTAAAAGAACTCACTTCATTTGTTTATAGTTAATTAATAGTAAATTAATGAAGCAAACTGAAGACAAAAACATTTAGGTTTTTTGCTAATTAAATATAAATTTTGCACTATTTCCCAATTACCTTTTTTATTATAAACATTCATAAAATATCATTATGGTAAAATAAAAAAATATATTTATATATATACATATATAAACTATGTATATATATATATATATATATATATATATATATATATATATATATATATATATATATATTTTATTTTTTATTTTATTTTACCATAATGGTATTTTATGAATGCTTATAATAAAAAGGGTAATTGAGAAATAGTGCAAAATTTATATTTAATTAGCAAATATATATATATATATATATATATATATATATATATATATATATATATATATATATATATATATTTTTTTTTTATTTTACCATAATGGTATTTTATAAATGTTTATAATAAAAAGGGTAATTGAGAAATAGTGCAAAATTTATATTTAATTAGCAAATATATATATATATATATATATATATATATATATATATATATATATATATATATATATATATATATATATGTATATATATATATATATATATATATATTATATATATATATATATATATATATATATATATATATATATATATATATATATATATATATATATATATATATATATATATATATGACATACCTTTTAATCTATGACATAGGCTATGTATAAGCTACTGTGGGTAAATAGTTCTGTTTATTAATATACACAATCTATACCAGCACAGAAAATATTTGTTGACTAAAGCTGTAGTTCTTGTTAAATTCAAATAAACTTTATTGTTATATGTAAACACCAAAAACTGATGTTGTATCATTGGTCCATTAATTTTATTAAATTAATAATAAAAACTATAGTATTATATTTGTATTAACCTTAAAAATAAATTAAATCAAGTTATTTAGTTCAATCATACATTATATAAGATTAAGAATGCGCAACAAGCTCGTATAATTAATTAGTTATATGCAATGATATATTAAGAAAATTTTTTATCCTTCAACAAATTTTATTATTTATCTAATAGTTATTCCTAATATATCATCGGTTATATGAGATCTGAGATAAGATCCCTGTTTTGATTGGACAAAAAACTAGTTACAAACAGTCCTCAATCTAAAATATCTATCTCCAATATATCATATGCGCTTTACTAATAATTCATATACAACTCCTAAAATCCGGCTAACGATAAACATTTTATCGGACCTAATGCAAGTTAAATTTTTCGTCCAATCAAAACAGGGATCTGATCTCAGGAAATAGCCGCTCGTCAAAAAATTGGCTTCACTTTTGATAATAAAGATGCGCTATCCAGTTATTATAGAGATCAGTGGTTTATACCTAGCGTAAACAAGGCTACTTATTTAACGATAGATTTAACCTACCTAACGGAAGCTTTACACCATATTTGTGCATGCGTTACGCTTGCGCAGAACTGACTGTCTACTTATTTAACGATCTACTTATTTAACGCTAAAAAACAAAAGCAAGTCGGATCCGGTTGATAAAAATGCCACACAGAACGTGCCTTCAAAACATTCAGTTCAAAAACAAACAACTCTTTCTTCGTTTCCTCGGTCTTGATAAGGGATCGTCCATAAATTACGTAACGCAAAATTTAAAAGTTTTTCTTCGCAGAGTCTTTAATTTAACCATGTATACTATAAACCTTAATTTTAGTCCAGTGAAAACCGCTGCGCCAAAGAGCAAAATGATCTCCTACTTATATTTTTAAAATAAGCTTTGCGCTGCGTAATTTATGGACGATACCTAACCCGTAAAACGTATCTCAGATTTTTTTGATATTTTTTGAAACTATTCGTTTGAATCAAACATTTTTTTGTTCTGGAAAGATTCGTGCCATTTTTATGATTATGAATACCATATGAGTACATATAATTTCATCAATAATTCGGTTATTTTTCAATGAGGTATATGCAAGGTATAAAAATATTTAAAAAATACTTGGGTGCGTGACTTACGTACGTTTACGAGTTTATTAGAAGTTTAATAAGTTCTAACGAAAAAAAAAATTCAAATCTTTATATTTATCATAAGAAATTTCAACTTTAAATAAATAAATATTAAAACATATTCAAAGACTATAAATACTATAACCCTCACGTTATCATAAACTATATATAATTACATCAGCTTAAGTTTAGAAATGAACAATCGTTCTATAAGAATTAAAAGGTATTTGAAAAAACCTCTCTACCAGGACCATCCTTTCTTTGCTATGCAAAAAAATTATTCCCCGCTTTAGTAAAGTATCGCAATGTTAAATACAAAAAAAAAAAGTATTAATGTCACGCTAGGATTAGAACCTTCACTTCAAAAAAAATATATGAAACAAAAAAAAACCAAATTGATGAAAAAAAAACAACAAACTAAACTCAAAAAGAAAAGTGGTTCAACGGTAGCTAAAAACATAATAAGGTAGTTGCTAAGTAACAATAGTTAAATCTTACAGGGTTTCTCACCTCATTTCGACATTGTATTACTACATTTCGACGCTTTTGTATTTAATTTCGACATTGTATCACTACATTTCGACACTTTTGCATTCAGTTTCGACACTGCTGCATCACATTTCGACAATTTAAAAACACTCTATTTTGAATTAAAGTATTTATATTTATGATGAAAATTTTTGTTAAATAATAATGGGTTAAATTTAATCGGGACAATAAAATAATTAATGTGGCTATTTTTTTAATTCTGCATTAAGTTGATACTGACATCAAGAATATGTTTTTAATATTTTTTTGGATATACGTAAAATATATATGTAAAATAAACAATGTGAATATTAATTATTTCAAGTTACCATAATAGTTATTTTTAATTGCTATATTCATTATTTTTATTGACCGGATAAATTATGTCTAATTGCCAAACTAATTGTCAAACGCTTTGGAAAATATCCCAACAATACATAACTAAACTGTCATCAAACTATAAATTAATGTTATAATTTTTTATTAAGTAAATAAAAGCATTTGTCTCTTCAATACAACAAGAGTTCATAATAAAAGCTTAATTATCATTTTCAATATTTATAAACAGCGATGCCAAATCAAAGAATCAACAATGAAAACCGTTCAAGGATAATTGAATCTTACTTAAATGGAAATTCACCATCAGAAATTGCAAATATTCTTGGATTTAAGCGAACTACAATCTATTCGATTATTAAAAAATATAAAATAGTTTGCCGATAGAAAGGCAATTAAACGGTGGTTCCAGAAACAAAAAATTAACAGAAGAATCCAAGGTATTAATCAAAAATTGGATTGATGAATAACTCTTAAGGAAATTAAGCAAAGACTTTTTGAACAAAAACCCATTTCAGTCAGTCATTCTACTATAGCAAGATGCATTGATAGTTTTAATTATACTTTGAAATGTGTTTACAATATTCCAGAGAAAAGAAATTCTAAAGACATTATTAATGAAAGAGTTTCTTATGCAGATTCATGAACATTTTATCTTCTATCAATGACAATAAAATATTCTTTATTGATGAAGTAGGATTTAGTCTTTCGATTCGAATTTGAAGAGGACGTTCTTTAGCTGAAAAGAGGGTCACACAAACAGTGACCAATATACGGTCAAGAAATATTTCCGTCTGTTGTGCAATGAACAAAAACGGAATTTTGAAATATGAAGCATAAACAACAGCATTTAATACAGAAAGCTTTTTATATTTTATTCGTTTAGTATTAGCACAATTAGCTGTTAATGAAGTTGTTGGAGCTATCTTAATTTTAACCAATGTTCGTTTTCATAAAACTGCTGTCGTTCATAATGAAATAGTACGTGATGGGCATTCATTGATATTTTTACCTCCATATTCCCCTTTTTTAAACCCTATTGAAATATGTTTTCTGAATGGAGACAGTTTATCAAAAGATGTTCGTCTAGAACTGAGGAGGAACTGCTTGAAAATATACAAAACGGTGGATTGAATATTACTAGCACAAACTGTATTAATTATTTTGCGCACGTACTGAGGTATATGATTCCGTGTTCAAGAAGAGAACCAGTTATTGAAGAATAAACTTACTTTTATAATTTTTATTGTTATTTGCGAGTATTTGCAATTACAATACTTTATATACGATTTTGTTCAGATTTTAGTTTGTATCCAAACTAAAAAATTATATTATCTGAATGAATTTAGAAAGAATCTAACTGCTTTATTTGTATATTATTATTAGCGCTGTCGAAATTGAATGCAAAACAGTCGAAATCAAATGCAACGGTGTCGAAATTGAATAAAACATTGTCGAAATGTACTGATACAATGTCGAAATTGAATGATACGTTGTCGAAATGAAGATGGAAACCCTGTATTATACTACAGCCGTTTTTCAATACGCCTATAAGTAAAAAAATCAATTTTGATTTTATTGCAAAATAAACTAAATTAGATGTCTACAAATGTTATTGAATAAATATTTTTGAAGGATTATGAAAAATTCATAAAAATTATTAATTTCAAAAAACATTTTACAGCGAATTTCTACAATTTATTTTTTTTGTTGAGAAGTCTTAGAAGCATTATGAAAAATTGCATTTTTCTTAAAGCTTCTTAAGGCGTTTCGAGAAACAGCTCTAGTATGGAAAATTGAACAATACTAAGTAGTAAAATAAGTAATAAAAATAAGTAACTACTCGATGAAAAATTGAACAATACTGAGTAGATAAAAACCTAAAAATAACAACTTTGTTTAAAGACGCATTCATCGCTTATCTAAAGGACACTCATCAACGAATGAAGAACAACGTTTTAAAATTTGCAAAAGATGTGGTTCTTTATCTGAACTTTCCCTGACTCTGTTGTCTTATCAATTTCCGAAAAATCTTTGCCTAATGGGATAAACTTTTCTCGCAAAAACTGAATTGTTTGCTGATATACATATTTAGAGTCAATACTGCTCCATTCAAGTATTTTATTTAATATGGTAGTACTTAGATTCAAATAGGATGCGAGGATATCGTTTACGATGATATCCTCACATCCTCTGATCAAAGATGGTGTTTCTAAAAACTGACCAATCTCAAAAACTTTTATTGCAATTTCAACATATTTAAAATTATTTATGGTAGAAGAAGACTCATAAAATTTTTCATTAAAGATTGAATTAAAATTAAGTTGATCAAAATAAATGCACTCCATTACAATATGGAGCAAATGTTTGATAATAATTCGATCGCTTATTTCTAACCGCAATGGTTTTGCGAGTTCAATTTGATTACAATACTTTGTTTCCAATAATCTTTTTAAAAAAGGCGAACAAGAAGAGACAATAGAAAGATAACAATGGACATTAAGTGCTCCATTAAACGACTTTAATACTTCTGAGTACTCAGAAGACAAGTTTTTCTGTTCATTTCTGTAGCTTATGACTAAATCAGCTCCTTCTTTTGAACTGAAAAGTTTTTGCATGTCATCCTCTAAAGTGTTGTACAAACCAAGATTTTCTATTGAAATTTTTTTTATATCGATAGATTCAAGTAATTTATTTTTATTTGTATAACCATAATATATATAACCACAGATTAAATCGGTAAAATCAGAAATATTTACATCTAAAATATCACAACCAATTTTAACATGAGTTTTGTTTATATCTACAAGAATACTTCGAAAGTACTTACACCTTGTTATAAGGACAATTTTATGAACATGAAAAAATGTATCTTTATACACAATTATTGTATCTGTTCGGTGTTTGCTATAAAAAAGTTGACACAAATCATTTTGAAGGTTTCCATTTATACTGCGATCTGAATCGAACAAAAACTTCAGTTCTCTCACAACTTCTAGTGTTTCATATTTTTTCAATAATGATTGGATCTCGGTAATTGACCAAGTCTTTACAAAACCTTGATTTTACTTAGTATAGAGAGAATTTTTTATCGGTCTCAATGTTCTAAATACGTTTTGCCATATTGAACTCTGCTTTTTTCTATGTTTTTTCTTTTCTTTTTCAAGCAACTTGCTTGGTTCACGTGGTTTAATTAAATCTGAAGACTTTGACTGATCTTCATCAGCAGCAGATTGACCATTACCCATTTTCCTAAAACTATGCAATCATTTGATAATTTTTACTAATTACAAATTGTATTTTTACATAAAACTTTTGTATTATTTGTTAAAATGTAGACAAGTTCTTATAACTTTATTTATTTGTAAAACTTTTACGAAAAAGTATTTTTTTACACCGAAATTTTATTACACCGAAAATTTTATTACACCGAAATTTTATTACACCGAAAAAGTATTGTAAAAAATTTTTTGGTAAACAAGTTACTTCAAAATTTTCGACAATCAATTTACTTCGATAAGCTTCCGTAAAAACAAAAAAATAATAATTAATAACCAAATAATAATAACCAAAATATATATATTAATAACCACAAAAAAAAATATTGTTAACCAAAAATAAAAATATTATTAACAAAAAAAAATGCGAATAAAGAGTCAACGACGTCTTGCTATTTAACTTTAGCAAACCACGTATTTAAAGCGTACGCAAAAGCTCGTTTAAAAAAGATAGAGGTCAAAAGATCCCTTATTTTAACTAATTTATTTATTGACCAGATGTTTTGACACTAATTTTAATTGCATTTTTTAAATTTTTAAAAAATGATTAACATGAACAAATAATCTAATTAAAAACGTTGAAAAACAGAAAAATTTGATTGACCTGTTCAAAGTTATAAACAAAATGGTCAAATGTAAAATTATTTGTACATGAAATACTGATATTGGGTTGCAACAAAAACATAAAATTTATGAGTTATTTTTTTGTAAAAAAAAAAAAAAAATCATAATTATTTTCAGCAAAAATGTATAAATTTATTTTGTGTACTATAGACAACAAACTACTACGTACTACAGACAACAAACATACTTCGTAACTCTCTAGTATTAAAAAAAAAATGCATCTCTTTCAACAATGATCTCTTTCGCTACCAGCCGTTTTAACAAAAATCTTTTTGCAGCGACCGCACAATTTTTTGAGTAAAATTTGGATGGCATAACATTGACAACTAACTAAAATTATAATAGTAAATATCTTTAAAAGCAAAACAAACCATATATCAATAAAAAGCTAAATAAATTAACTTTTAACTAAATAAGTTTTTAACGCGCATCACTGAACAATAATAAATGCTAAGTGCTTAAAACCGTCGTTTTTAGAAATAGTAACTAAAACAACAGTCTAAAACAAAACTAATTTAAAGTAAAAAAAGTATGTTTTTTTTTTCAAAAGGCCTTTGTATTAACTTTGCACATACTTCTACAAATTTAGTTTTAATTTCAGTATCTTTGCTTTGTAAAAATCTTATTAAGGCTAAAGCTATTTTAATATTCGTATTTTGGCCGGTACACGTTTCGCTGTTAACAATGACATGTTTTTTGTTTTGCGTATTTAGTTTTAAATGCTTTATGACACAGGAGGAAACGTCTTGAGCCCCTGTAAAGGCAATAGTTTTGTTCCATATATAAGACACTCCAGCTTGCGTCTCAAGGTTACGAACACCAAAGTTGTAACATTAAATATTGCGTTTATAATAAGCATATAAAACAGAAAAAAATTGGAAATGGCAAGGCTTTTTGTAGGTTAATACTGCATACATAAATTTCTATGAGTGTATGAAAACTGATGTAACTTTTGTTACATCAGTGTTCATACACTCCCGTGCAAACTCAGCTTTTCTTAAATGGAGTTTTGAACTCCAGGTATTGAATTAAAAGTACTTGAATTTTTTTAAATTATCTTTCCCAAGGCCAATGCTACAAACAATTCGAAAAATTTATCAGAAACAAAAATCTTTGCAAAAAGCTTAAAAGTAGAGAAAAGAAGTAAATAATTTTTACGTAAAAATGCGTAAACGCGATGTTTTCTACGTTGCATTATTATTTTTGGCAATTGCTATGAAATATTAGGAAACGATATGTCATTTAAACAAATACTCTTTTAAATAATTGTTCTGTCAACTCTAGAAATTTTTATATTTTTTTGTTCTAGTATTTGGTGTTATATAATTAGTGTTTTATTTATTAAAATTAGGAATAATATTAGCAAAAGCGTTCACCTAACAAATAAACCTTATTTTATAAAGTGTAGATGAATATTCTAACATTTTATACGCCAGGAATAGCCATTCTTAATCCAAAACCCTGGTTGCTTCAACCACTTCCTTTCTGATCTTTTTATGCCCTTGGCTTAAATAATTACTTTAAGGCGCTAGGTTGTCACAACAATGGTCAATTGTCAATTATCAAACAAATAAAATTTATCTAAAAAAAGGATTTCTTTGTTTGTTTATAGCTTTGGAAGTTTATATCGTAAAAACAATTTTTATTTTTTTCTTAGCAATGGCATAATTTTTTTTTTCCGCCTATTACGGAAAAAACTATTATTTTATTATATAGAATTGGCCTCTCGTCGAACTGGAACGTTAAAAACGAATTCCTCTTACTTTCAAACAATTATTTTGGGTTCTTAATATTGAAGACGTTCCTTTTTTTAAATGCGCTTAAACTTTTAAATTCATCATTAAGTTAGAGAAATTTAGTTTTAAAATTGTTTACATTTGAAATCTTTCAAATTACTTAATAATTATTTTACTTGTCGGAAGAAGCAAGCTACTAGATCTCCAAGCCATTAATTATTACTTTCATAGATGGCCAACCAATATATTTGCGGTTTATAAAGTTATTCATAGCAGTCGTGGTATACCACGGCTGCTATGAATCTTTTTATAAAGTATTTTGAGTTTTTCCTTAGAATCAAGAGGTCTGAGTTTCAATGTCGGCTCTGACTTTGATTCCTAGTTAAATTTCTCTTTCACGGTACTTTGTAATCCCTTAGTTCTTCTTGGAGTACCTAAACAACTAAAAAAAAAGTCATCGTAAATGATTGTGAGTTGTTAAAAGGACTTTTTAAGAAGAAACATTAAATTATTAGCTTATATTTAATAATGTATAAAATGTAGACATCTACATTTCGCGAGGTTAGAATTATTTTGTTCTATCTCCACATTTTTTTGTTTCGAGATAAAACGATTTAAAAAATAAAAACTTTAGGAGACGGCATATAAAAAGATTTTTATTAATTATGTTTTCTCCGAAACTTTTTTGACTTTAACTTAGGTTTTAATATTGTAGAAAAACAATATTTTTAGGCACATGACACAATTAATAACTCATTTTTTTCAAAAAGTGGAGATAAAACAAAATAATTCTAACCTCGCGATTTAATGTAGGCTTTTTTTAGATATTTTTATTAACATTAATGATTTTAAAATAACGTGGATCTTTGCTGCAATAATCTACTGTATTACTAAAATAAAATATATATATATATATATATATATATATATATATATATATATATATATATATATATATATATATATATATATATATATATATATATATATATATATATATATATATATATATATATATATATATATATATATAAACATTTAACAGATCTTTCACTTTTTTAATAAATTTATCAACATCTGATACGCAAGAAAATGGATTGTCTTCTAATTTTTAACAAATATAATTTTTATTGGACGCCTAATATAAAACTTTTGCTAACCTGCACTTGTTTCTGTCACTAGTTCCGACTCTATTTTATATGTTTAAATTTTTCAACAATGAGACAAATTTCTCAAAATTTTTCTAACTTACCTAAATCTTGATTTCTCAATGGTTTGGATATTTAGATCTTGAAGAATTTTTGTAATTAACAGTATTTCCACGCTGACGCTTAAGTTCAATGTTACTTGTAATTGTTTTATAAATTGCAAAAAACTTATTAAAAACGTAATACATCAGTTATTCCATTATTGTGGCATTTTCCCATCCCATCATACTTTTTTATTTTTTGTTGAAAAAAATATAGCAAGTTTTGCAAAACTTTATTTGCAAGAATGATACCATTCAAGTTTTTTAATGCGTGTATACGAACTGATTTTACGACTACAGAGTCAGTCAGCCTCAGTGGCGTACTTACAAGGGAGGAGGGCGGGGCGGGAGGGATTACCGCCCCGGGTGTCATTCACTTTTGGGTGACACCTAATTTATTAATATCTTATATTTTATTTTGGTTTATAATTAAACAGTCTTACATAAAAAAATAAGTGGGTATTTATTTACACGACCTACGAAATGCTGAATGCTGAAAGATTTAGTTATCATTATTTAGAAAATATAATCGCTTAGCTTTCTTCTTATAATATAAACAAAATGAAATAAAGACTTAATGTCGTCTAAAAAAATTCTTCATAATCAAAACATACCCAAATTTTGTTTGGGTTTGGATAACTTTGTGTAGGTGCGATTTTAACCGTTTTTACTCTAGAAAATAAAATACATGTATTTTATTTGTAATGAACTAAAAAATTTTTAGATTAAAAGTTGTAGGTAAACTTTTTAAGTATGTTTAAATACAAAAACGAAGTAAAAAATTAATTGTATTAATATTCTTATTAATTTTTTTCAATTCCTGTATAGCCTAAATAATAATCCAATTAAAAAATGAGTTATATAATATATGAGTTATAAAATACTTAAATTTCATACTTTTGTACGTCTGCTTTGACAAGTAATTTTAAATTTTAAAATAAACTAAAATTTGCTCGGTAAAGTACATTACTTTTTTTTCCCTTTTTCTTTATTGCCTTTTATGATTTTTTTTCTTCTGAAATTTATTACATTTTTAAATGTTTTTATTATATTTTATAGATTTTTTGATTCCTTATTCAATGCCATATTAGTATGGTATTACAGTTCATTAACTATGCAAGAGCAGATTCTCCGAGCCAATGGATCAAGGTTTTTATTTACTTTTTTGAGTTCTTCAAAGTATTTAAAGATATTCTTATAAAGTATTATATATTTAAAGATATGGTTTTTAAACCCCGATAGCGTTGAGGCCCAATACACAACAATTTTATACAATAAAAACATTTAGTTTAGTGATTAAAAAATTAATTTAATGATTGAAAAATTTAGTTTTTTGATTAAAAATTAGTTTAGTGATTGCA